AAATTGAAAATGAAGTTTCATAAGAAAAAAGTAGAATTTCTTTGAAACAGCAGCCAAGTTCTTGCAGTGGGACATAAATCCTAGTGGCTATATCAAATGGCAGCACATACCAGAGTAACTGCCAAACAGTCAAATGTTGCTGAGGAAAGCAAGAACACATGGGATTTATGGCATTGAAGATTTGAGCATCTAAGTATTACAGGACTTCAGTGTTTAGTGAAGGATGGACTTGTAGAGGGACTTACTATTGATAAAGACTCCCCACCATTCACCCAATGCGAGGCTTGTATACAAGCAAAGCAGACACATAGCCCATACCCAGGTGAACTTACCCACAGTGATATCTGAGGACCAGCTCATATTGCTTTCTTGCAGGGATTGAAGTATAACATTGCCTTTACAGATGATACAACCCAACAGCATACCTAAATTTATGAAGGTGAAAAGTCAAGCCTTTGATAGGATCAAAGAATACATCACTTTTATAGAGTGACAGTTTGGAGTCAAGCCAAAGGTCATCTGAGTTGACAATGCAAAGGAGCTAATCAGTAAAGAAGTCAAGGAATAGTTAAAGGAGAAGGGAATTGAGTTGCAGACCACTGCACCTTATGCACACTTTTCAAATGATGTAGCAGAGCAATTTAATCACATCCTACACAAGCCATCTAATAGCACATGACCTTCCATCATTCCTATGGGAATGTGCAATTGAATATGCAGCTTACATACAAAACTTGGCACTGATGCAAGCCTTGGAAGGAAAAACACCTGAGGAAGCATGGACAAAAACAAAACCAGATGTCTCACACCTCAAGGAGTTTGGCTGTAATGTGTGAATCCTAACAGAAGGGCAGAATCTGTCAACTCATGTCTCATGTAAAGTGACAGTAGGGTTATTTCTGATTGCACCAAAATATGCTGTTGTAAATTGGTCCCAAGATTTAGGTAAGGATGTTATTAATAACATGAGGAAGTCTTCATCTGATACTTAGCTTCCGAGCATTCCTAGCTCTTCTTGAGTGCATCGCATCTCAGTTATGTGTTCTACAATATCTGTAGACTCATTGGCAACAGTATGGTACAAACAGTGATGGTAAGATAAAATTTCTAGCTTTCCTCTAGCCTTCTCTAACTTCAATTGCTTCCATATTTTGGCTGTGGTGGTAGCACCCACAATGTGAATCATCTGCATGTTGCTTAGTGTCAGCTCTATTGAGTCTATGCCTTCCCATCCATCTCCTCTCATTTGCATAGCTTTGCAGTTTCCTCAGCTGTTGGTGCCTTAAGGTCCACTACACTCAGTTTCACTTTCTTTCCCTCAGTGTACTTTAAGAGACTCTGTTCTCATAGGATAGCTGTCACATGACACTTCCATGAAACCCAATTGTCTTCTCAAAGGAGCTCAATTTGGAATAGCGATGATGGTGTCGAATCAATTGATGATGACATGTATGATGAGGGCTGGGGTTTTGATAGTTGTATTAGGTGAGTACTGTTCATGTAGGTATATAGATATATAGATTATTTAGGCTTTGGAGCCTATAACCTATTGTGAGGATGAGTGTAATATGCAGTGGTAAACCTATCTTTTGGTCTACTACCTTAGTGGTGGTTGAGTATGAAGAAATTAATTATTCTACTAGGCCAAAACTTTGGCCTTATATACTACAGAATGTATCTGGAATATTCTACTACTTTACCTATGTTTATATCTACTCAAATGTTCCAGCAAGTAAGAGTATGAGGGAAGAAACACTTAGCAAGAGCAATGATGCTCAAATATTCCAGATGTTGCTGGATTGCCAAGACACAGCATGCCTATCACTATGTTATGACCTGTGGGTCAGTCACAATAAAGAAGCAGAGACAGGCAGATCAAGCAATGACTCTACAGTAGGGTCACTATTAGAGGTACTAGAACACCATGACATCAAACCACCATTGCATGATGACTCCACAGACTCTTCACTCTTCTCCTGGGATCAACCATAGAATCTGAGATATTGTTCAGGCATGGAGGCAAGTTGTTTATGATGAGCGAGCTGACAACAGATGGTTTTGGGGAGGAGGGAGGAGGCTCAACTTGATTGTTAGATAGTTTGTGATGAAGTATATGGGAGCTGTGCCATGAGGCAAGCAGAAGAAAGCAGCATAAAGGGTATAAGATTGGGGGGTTTGCCAGAAACAGGCAGGTTGAGAGACACCAGACCCTGGGCTCCTAGATGAATTCTTCAGCCCCATCATCCATGGTATTATGCCTGCTAGGACTTATGTCAATGTTGCTGTCACCATTGAAAATTATGTTGCCATCACCATCTGTGCCACCTGATTCTTTGCTCAGCTTTTTCTCTGGTTCCTGGTTCTCTATTAAGTTTGTCCCCTCCTCATCCATATCCACATCAATGGACTCTGGCCATACAGCTTTGGTTGCTTGGATCATAGATGTCGATGAGGTACTATCCAATACAAGTGCATGGCTTACTTGGACTTTAGATGCTGTTAACAGAATGTTAGCTGAAATTCAATGTATTTATGTAAAAATACAATATATGGTAAACTTTGCATAGGAATCTAGTAAATGGTGACAGATATGTCTTTTTGTACTTTGGAAACACCTGGCTGAAGGTCTGCCCATGCTCATCTTTGCCCGCTGATGAACCTATAGACTCCTGTGGGTGAAAACACAAAACCTAGATGCGGTATGTGCTAATAAAAATGGAATCTGAAGGATGGTTCTAGCAAGTCTAGTCAGGCATCTCCATATGGTGACTAAAGCCTTCTAAGTTCAGAACAATAGAGAAATATCTCTACTAGGAGTGTAGAGAGTGGTAGCAAACTATAAAATTTGCAAGAAGAGAAGTAATCAGGAAAGAGATCCTAAAGACGACCCTAAAGACTTAATCAGTAAGTGTACAAGGATTATACCTTGTTCTTATTGGAACTCTGGCTATGAGTGCAATGGATGAGAGCTCAAAAGAAACTGTTCAAGTTCTAACTGCAAACTTAGAGACTGTAGTGAATTATTTAACTCACATGATAAGGTTGAGTCAAGGTAGTGAGGATCAGTCTAATACTCAATGAGACTTTCTCTGGCTGCAAGAAAGTGAAGGCATTGGTGGGATTGATGAAAACATTGTCTCCTAGCTGCAGAAGTAAGTGAATTTGTTGGTGAAGCAAAAGAATAAGAGGAATAGATTGCAAGCACAAGTAACTGTTGAAGGTTCACTGTTGCTTAGAGAAATAAAGGTTTGAGATGAAGTTCTAGCAGTAAAATGTCTTTATTGCACTACTTCAAGAGTGTAGAGTGTATAGTATAAGTATTAGGAATCGAAAGTAAGTGTAGAGGATAATCTGGGGTCACCCTGATTCACTCTGGTCTCCTCCTTTTTAAACTAATTAGTTAGCTACTTTTTATACTACTTGCAAATTAAAGATTTGTAAGCTATAATTGTCCTTGCTGTATTGATTTCTAACATAAGCAAACTATTTACTGAGTCATAAGGCATTATTAACCCTTCCTTACCAATGCTGAGTCATGCACAGTCAAATCTGCATGCTACAAAGACTGTGCATTACTGTGCATTGCACTGCAAGTAAGCAAGCTTTGTAACAGGTTTACCAAGCAATTCACTGGAGTTTGCTTAGCAGATTAAACAGCCTTAGTAAGTTCTAAACCACTGCTGACTGTTGCAAATTAAATAATTCTCTAACTTGTCATCAGGACTGAGTTATTTCAGGGCAGGGTGGCTATGTGCTGGGATCAATGATGGGATTTGATCAATCAGAATCTGCAATCAAAGTGCCTGAAGATCAATAGCTGTGCTCTGATGTAGAAAATCCTAATGAATCCATGAATTCTAAGTGCACAGAGCTTGGAGGCTCATCATCACATGATAACTAAATCAATAGTGAGAAATGAGATCCTCAGATGGAGACAAAAACAAGACAAACATGGATGCAAGAGTCTGGGCCACTAATAATTGTCATAATCATGCAGCCAGTCACTTTGGACAGTGCAGCCATAAATTTCTTGATTTGTACTGATGATGCCTTGATTGCACTGCAATATTATGACTATCAAACAGAGATCTCATGTTGTGAACTCAAGGGCAAACCTACACTGCATACATCTCTGGCATTATGGTCACCTCTTCCTCCTTAGACTTAGGGACCTGTTCTTTCACTCATTCCATTATCTGAGCATGGACCTCCTCACTTTCCCCCTGAAATATCTCCTTCATCATCTTAACAAGCTTCAACACCTCTCCTCAAGTCATACCTGGCTTCTTTCTCTCATTGATGGTTGGCTTGATACATTCAACATAGTAGTGCTGGGAATACATCTCCTTCACTTTCAGGATGTGAGACTTTGACTTTGATAGGGGATGATGCCTTCAGATTTCTTGGCATGATCTTACAGCGGTTTTCATAATTATGTGGAATCCCGATTTGAAAACTTGTATGCTCGTATTTGCATCAAAGGGCCTACCCCAGCCCCAGTCCTTGCTGCGTCATCTTCACTCCCCTCCCCCCCCCCCCCCTCTGTCTCTCTCCCTACCATGGATCCAGTGTCTGATACTGAGGATACCAATGTGACTCCTAGTCACAATGCTGCTCTCACAGTCCGATGCACCTTTTACAGTACTGGTACCTCTGGAAAGAAGAAGACCGAGAAGAAGGATGTCAAGACGAAGGAGCTGCCTTTCGTTTTCAGTGCAACGCAGAAGAATTATGTCGATCTTCTCAATACCATTTTGACAAAATTCGGAATCATGAACAGAAAAGCAACAGCAAAACGGGTTTATCGCGTAAAAATTCAGATACTGCCTGCGAAGTACGTCCCAAGATACTATTATCTCATTCTCGACCTTATTGTGTTCTTCAGGCAGAGTGAGGCTTGTGATATAGAAGATTATGCCGAATACCAGGAAGCAACATCAAAGATCGTCGAAACAAAGTCGCATCGTAACCATATAGTCTTTGTCGATATGAAAGACATTGAGAAATCCCTGAAGAAGGTCTGCCATCTATAAGCCTCTCTCATTTCTGTCGCTTATTGATTTCCAAGCGAGCTACTTCGAATCATGATGAAGAGAGTGATGATGAAGAGAAGGAAGGCGCTGGAGATGAGGAAGTACATGTTTCCCACTGCAGTTCATAGCCTTTACCTGATTTACTGATGTGCCATACTAGGATGGTGATGATGCTCATGGGGAGGCTAAACGTACTCTGGGTCACTTTCGAATTATACTCAAACGGCGATGGAAGAATGATCATGATGGTGGATTCACATTTGTCGATCCATTCACAGGATTCAGTATGGCTCTGACCCCACAAGCTATGAAGGAATGGGCGCGTGCTATGGTACGTGTTGTTCTTTTCAGTATGTGCATGTATACTGAGGAACCCTAGTATGATGGAAATGCAAAAGTGTCGGAGCCTCCTCGTACCCAGACATTTGATCCTCTCTATCGCCAGTCTTCCATCACTCCTCATGGCAATCGAGGATGATCCGTCTCTAATGCTCGGACTGAATGATCCTCTGATAGTGACAATAACAGCAACAACACCGATGGTCTCACCGTTCTTTCCAACATGCTCAACACGATCTCTACAATTGCTCGAGGACCTGGTTCCATATCTCCCAAAGCTCGTTCGCATGCTGGCCCCCCTTCTACACCACCAGTTAACAGCCCAACAAAGCTCCGACGTTTTCTTGCCCACGCTGAAGAGAAGCTCGGTGTTGCCAATGCCAAAGCCTATGAAGAGCAGTTTAGCCGGGAGGGGCTTGGTCCGGACATCCTTGATAGTGTTGACTCACAGGATCTCCGACAGATGGGATTGACGACCAGTGATGTGATACGGCTAAAGAAGGGTGCGCCGCTTTGGTGGAATGGTCCTGATGCCAAGCGGAAAGCAACCGACGATGCAACCCCTTCTGCTGGTCCAATGCCTCCAACAAAAAAGGTCTGCTTTGAGAAGTGCTACCTTGATGGCAGTGGTGCTCGTACTCTCTTTGGTCCACGCCTCGAACGTATTGATGACCCTCTTGATCTACCAGAAAGCCCTGGCTATGTATGGTATTATCTCTGCGAGGCGAGGAATGAATTTGTACCTGTTCCTGAGGGTTTTATTCCTGTTATTGACGGCGAGGAGTTCTAGTGCTGTGTTTTGCTATCCTTTATATTGTTCGCTTTGCCACTGGACGCTACTTCGTAACTGTACTTTTATGTTTATTCTTTATTCAGTATGTATTCGGTATGCAATTAGACATTAGCAAATGGCTTCGAGTATTCATTAGACTTCGCTTTGAACATGTAAAACATTACAGTAGAACTACAGCTTTATACAACATAACCTGATGCCTTGAAGAAACCCCAAGCCTTTGATGGTGTGATATTATGGCAGGCGTGATCAATTACAGAAAGTGAGAAGTCGTCCCAATGGCGACGGAGGTAGGCTTTGATTGATGAGAATGCTTGTTCAATTGGATTATAGTCAGGCGAGTATGGTGGTACAAATACGAGCTTGCATTCTGTAGATTTATCTCAATAGAAATGATGGAAGATGGAACATTGATACTTATGTGCCTCATCTTCCACCAATGCACGCACATCCTCCGAGTGATGGATGCTACAGTTATCCAGAAGAAGGATACTGCGCGGGCCAGGATATGGATTTGTGAGCGGAATCTGTCCAAATTGCTTCAGCCTGGGAAGAACATAAAGGAAAGCTACCAACCACTTGCTCTCGTAAAAACTCTAAAAAGATCTCGCTTGTCACAGAGCCCGGAATGACATCGTGTGTGATAATCCCATCAATTGTGAGAACGGGAAGAATGGAGTACCTCTGCCCACGTACAAAGTGTCGCCGGGACACACAACGCAGCCCTCTTGGTGCATAGCCCATCTTGCGTGAAGAAGTTCGTCTATTCCTGGCCACCTCGTCAATGGACATCAGCTGATCAGGATTAGTGAGAAGGTCAGCAATTTCGTTCATGAAGATAGCACGGTCCATCAGATTTTGTTCAAGGGCTTTTGCAGAGACAGTTTTTCGTGAGAAGTGAAGAGTATGAAGGGTATGAAAGAGGGTAGAGAGAGAGACAGTGATGTTACGATGCGTGCTAAGCTGTTCCTGGATTTCATCGAGATAGATGCAGTGCCGCTGTTTCAACAATAAGCAGATGAAGCGCACATCCGTATGCTCAAGCTTCCGCCTCCTGCCTATGCGATGAACATCAGGATTATATGGCTTGCCGTAGGAGCGAAACCAGCTGAGAGCGAGATAGACAGTAGACTTCTTGATGCCAAGAATGAGGCATATCTCCTTGACAGTACGGTCTTGCTCATAGAAAAGAATCGGAATCCTGTCCTTGATGTCCTTGGAAATGACACGTGTAGGCATGGTAACATATCAGATTGTGGTGGGAAGAGAAAGAGGCATGTATTCGCAGTCGCGGTAATTGGCGGGACCATGGCCTTGCGATCCAAATACGACCACATAATTTTTCAAAACGGGAATTCCACATAATTATGAAAACCGCTGTAAAACCATTCCTTTACACACTAGTCAAGTAAAGCCTATCAGTGAACACTATATGTTCAGAAAGTTAGAGCCTAACCTTAAGATAGCAGCAGAAGGACAGGAATGGTGAGAATGGCAGAACTGCCATGTTGTCTCATTCATGCATTGGATACCACGTGATCCCAACAGGCTTCGCTTCATACTATCATCATCCCTGCTCAGCCAGAGAGTCGCTCTCAACTTGTAGATATCCACTACACCTTTTATTTCTTTCAATCCATACTCGAGAACTCTCTTTTTCATGACACAACTGAGCGATGCCTCTGAAGATGTTGAAACAACCAGCGATACCCTCTACATATGTCCTGCAGGGTGGAACATAAAACTCAGGGGCTGCCAATGACTTGCAGACCAACAGAGCACTGCCCACAGTGATGCCGGCAGTTGAACGAGCTCTGACAAATGCCTTTGATGAGGAGGGTGTGGCAATGTTAATGGCAGCAGTGGAGGATCTCCTCCACAGCATATCACCATTGACAAGAGCATTGGTGCCACAATCTCCAGCTTACTCGGTAGACTAGATTTTGGAGGAGGTGATGTGGGAGATACCACCATCCTCCTCCTCCACATTGGTGTTGTCTCACCTGTGTTTAATAGCAGCACACCTTCTCAAGGGAGAGCTCCCTTCTCTTTGGCCAAGGCCAGCCCCAGCACTACCTTCCAAGGTATGACCATGCTATAGTCTCACCAATTGTCTATTGACCAGACTTGGTAGCATCCTATGACTGGATGATGTCTGTTGACCAGACTCCCACTCCTTTGTCCCAAGGCAGGGCAAGGGCACCTTCTCAGGCTAAGACAGCTCCAGATGCCTTGTTGTTGCCTCCCTCAGTGCCTCATCCAGGGCCGAGCCACAGGTCCACTGTTCCAAGTGCATATACCCAGGTTTCTCAACCTGGGACAGAGGTGAGAGGGCAAAAACACACTAGGAGTGGCCCTGGTGACATTGAGGAGCCTGCTCCAACTTATAGTCAAGTGGAGGAACCCTCTTCAGCACCTGGCCATGCAGACTTGGCAAGTATTCATTTATGACTTCAGTTCACACCAGCAGATTCGTCAGTCATCTACTTGGGTTTGGCCAGGAGAATGCTGCACCCTTCTCATACCCACTCTTCCCTGGCTCACTCTATCTCACAAGTCATCTCAAGGCACTCTTTGTTGGCTATCCTAGCTGCACAAGTAGCTCAGAGTCAGTTTGCATGGGATGTCACAGGTGCTCTGAATGCGAGTAGCCAGGGCAGTTGCCACAGGTTGATGGGACCCATCATGCCTTCCACCAGAGACCAGCATTGGCTTTCTCCAGTTGGCTCAGTGGGTGAACAGCCTAGCTATGAGGACCTCCTTCAAGAGGTTCATGCTCTTCATGCTGGGAGGCTCCCTTCTCCTATGCCCCGCAGAGATCAGGGCACCATGACAAGTTTTTCAACAGGCTGTGCCTCTGTTTGATCCCATCATAGCCACCCTCTTTGCCGGCAATGCAGAGAACACCCAAGGGACAGTCACGCCGAATATCTCTGAGTATGACCCCACAGCTATCAACCTCCCATTTGAAGTCAGACACAACCTTCGCAATGGTATGCCTCACTTTCTCCAGCTCATGTTCTTCTCCCTCAAGGCATGCAAAGAAGAAGCAGCGAAACCTCTTGGGTGTCATAATAGACAGCAGTGTTACATGGGTGCAGGAGGGACACTCAAATTCTCAGTCACCCCTCACAAGGCTCCACCGGAAGACACAATCAAGACCTTGGAGAGCTGAACAGGCCTTATCATGTGCATAGCAAGGGGGTTCATCAACAACCTTGACATGGGTGATGGCATATGAGGCCCTAAGGTAATAGCTTTCATTTGAGGCATGTGCTCTCACTGGGGAAACCTGCTGCACCTCCCATGGGCTCAGGAGTTATTCCTGGTTATCCATGCATATGATGAGGGTTTCCACAAACACATGTGGAACATCATGAGGGAGGGTTCATAGCAGTTCAGTCAGGCAGCATGGAACACTCACCTAATAGAACACAATCTCAATGAGGCAGCCTCTGCGAAGTCGAAGACAGCTGACACAGACATGAAGTTCTCAGCGCTACAGGCAGAGTTTCGCAACTTTAAGGCACAAGCATCCTCCAGCCATGGTTGTGACTCCTCCTCTCAACAACCATCTGATTACTGCCCCTGATGAAACATCACAATCAACATGTCCTACATCTGTATGGTGTGTGGGGAAAAAGGCTCCCACACCTTCAGAACTTGCCCAAATGCAGCCCAAAATGACATCATTGAACAACACAACCACAGATGGTTCTTCAAGGCCAGTGGTGACCCAGTATGTTATGGTTACAACTACCCAGAGGGATGCAAGTGCCAACCATGCAAATTCCACCATGCCTGCACCTGCTGCAACTCCACCACCCATGCCACTCACTCACACTGTTGAAGACATCTTCCCTATAGTGACACCTTTCAAGCACGAAGCCTGGACATACTATCTCTCAAGAGCAAATGCACTAGACAAATTTGCAGACATCTCCAAGGGCATCAGAGAAGGTTTTCTGATGGGCCTCAAAAATTTCAAACTAGACCGTACCTTCATATTAAAAAATCATTACACTTTGCCATCGCATTACGAATTTCTTGTCACAAAATATGCTGAGAAGATCAAACTCGGGTGTCTATCCACAGGCTATGACCCCACAGAACTGGAAGCATTGATAAGTACTAAACCTTTTCCTTCTTACTAAGCCTGAACGCTCATGCCATGTTTATAGGGCACTTCCATACAGCACCTCTCAGTGTTGCAGAAACAAAACTGGGTAAATTATGAGTAATAGTAGACCAGTCATTCTCACATAATGCGACACCACTAGACCTTACACCTCATAGCGATACCCCCCATTTCATCCTTGTCAACCCTGAGACAACCTCAATTAATGCTATTATTGATTCTAAGAAGTTCCAATGCACCTGGGGCACATTCTCTGAGTGTTATTTAAAGGTTGCAAATGCTTCACTGGGCACACAGACCACTGTATTTGATGTAGAATTTGTCTTCCATAATGTCTCCACCCACCCCTCAGTCCGACCTTTCACTGCCATCTCCCTCAATGGCCTCATACACCTTGATCCATGTCTCAACTTCGGTGCATCACCCTTACCAGGAATATGGGGGTGCATAGCAGATGCAATGGTCCAGATCCTACTAAACAAGGGTATAGAGGCCTTAATCAAATGGGTGGATAACTTCATCTTCTTCAGATCACTTAAGCGCATTGGTGACAAACAATCCTTCTCTTACGATGCTGACATCATATGGAAGATAGCTGCGGATCTGGGATGGCCCTGGGCACTAGCAAAGTACATCTCTTTTGCCATGGCATTCCCGTACATAGGCTTCTGGTGGGATATGGAGTTGAAATTTATCTCTCTACCAGTGGCCAAGAAAGAAAAGTACCTTGCAAAACTCCTACCATGGGCTGAAGAGACAAAAATGACCAAAAAGAATGCAGAATCAATCATAGGAACCCTCAATCACATCTGCCTCATTGTTTCTGATGGTTGTTCCCACATGCCAACATTCTACAGATTCCAAGCCTCTTTCAAGGACATGGACCCAGCATTCATTCAACATACAATATCAAAAACTCTTGCCGACAATGTAAAATGGTGGAAAGAAAAACTGAGCTTAAATCTGCTTGGGATACCCATCATTGCACCATCAGAACCTCTGAACATCTCACTCATGGTTGACACTTCCACTTCATGGGGTCTTGGTTTGGTGATAGATGGGAAATGGTTAGCATGGGAATCGATCCCAGATTGGAGGTCAGATGGCCATGACATTGGTTGGACAGAGATAATTGTGATTGAGCTGGGCCTTTGCACATTAATCGCAATGGGCTTTAAAGACTGCCACATCATCATCCAGTCAGATAACCAAGGAGTGGTAGGAGCATTACTTGCAGGATACTCATGGAATGCACAACAGAATGTGATACTACATCACATAGTCTTTTTGATGCAAGAATCTGGGATATGGCTTTCAATAGTCTGGGTCCCGACAAAGGAAAATCTAGCAGATGCATCATTGTAAGAGATACTGGAGGCTAGGAGAGACCTCCTTCCATACCCACCAAAGATACCTTTGCATTTGAAGTTATATGTAAATCATTCTGTAGATTACAACGATGTAAGAATAACAATGTAAACTGGTGAATTGAATAATACAACAATCTGGCAATTAAAATATAGCCACACAACCAAACCTGCCACACACCATGACCTACCACCAACCATTCCCATGGCACCACAAATGCTATCAAAGACACATGTTGCAACTGCCCCTACAAAGATACCAACAAACCTTCATACCCAGAAAACATCAATCACAAACCCACAGACCAGCAAGGTTCCTTGAAACAATACCCAGAACAAAACATCGCAGTGGAGAAAGGGCACCAGCCAAAATACAAGCAGTGATAGGACTCGCCTGAGCACTGGGAACAATGAAGGGACACATGAGTGGTATTTGGCAGTACATAGACTTCTGCCAGAGAAAGAGGATACCAAGAGAAGAATGACTCCCAGCATCGGAAACTCTTTTCTGCAGATGCATCACACTTTACAACTGCTTTTCAATTTCTCAAGAGGAGACAGATTTGCAGCCTCATTCAAAGAAACAATGACAGCAGATGCAGTATGAAACAAACTGTATGAAATTCGAGCCCTGCACATATTTCACAAAGGTCCACTGAGCATCACTCACCTATGGTTTCAGACCATGTTTTTTCTGAGCTGCAGCAGCCAGTACTGATATAGGCACTAAGTTAGGAGGTGGCAACATTCTAAATCAAATCAGCACAGAACCTTTTTGCAAAAATAACATAACATACCTCAATATTTTTATCCTATGCTGGAATTCCTATCATAAAGACTCATTATAGTCGGAATCTACCATCCCAACTGTACAGTTTTGCACTGGCAACTGCATTGCTGATAGCCATAGTTTAGTAATTATCCAACTCTGAAACCATATAATCAGACAAATACTAGCAAATCACATCTTGGGAGTATATAAGGTGACATTTAAACTCTTGGGACCTTTCCATCCCTTGATCGTTACCATCAACTATCCTCACTTTCCCCATCTGCACTATTGCTCCCATAGCCCAGCACCAGGTTAACCTTTCTGCTGATGCCATTGTGGCATTATTGTAGGCTCTAAATGCCCTGAACCTGACTAGTGGGTTATTTCTTACTCTGCTCTCTTTCTCTTTTCTAACATTGACAATGTAGACACTTCCACAAGCCCTTTAGTGCCTGCTACTGCTTCTAGTATATTATGATCTTACCCCTATTTTTTTTATCTTATCTTATCCTTATCTCCTGAATCCACAATAATCCATTGGCACACCTCCTACCCATTTACCTGATTGCTATCACTCTGCTGATGACTCATCAACAGCTGCCACCTCCTGGATAACCAACATACCACATGCACTATCATGCTTTTTTTAATGGCATCATGCTTCTTAATAGTTTGACAAGAGTCAACCGCTAGTCAAGGACAGTCTATGAGATATGGTCTATTCAGATGGAGTCTTGCATCAATGCAAGTGATATGTGTTCTTTACTCTTATTTGTTGGGGATACACTTCTTTCAGTGTCCTCACTCCTCATTCACTGCAGAGCACACTTCTCAATGCACATGCCCCAGTAGGCACTATTCTTAGTATGAGTCTAACATGTATTTAAGCTAGCTTATGCTGTGACCTTAGACCCCAGCTTCAGCTAAGGTTATACACTCTCAACTCTTACTGATCTCTCTGGTTCATGACTAACTTGTTCATCACCATCCACAAAAAGTTTCTCCTACATCCTTGAGAGATGTAGCTCTCAGATCCTTGCCTGCACCCACCACTGGTAAGTGTTGCATAAAGTTTCTAAATTCAAATTTATTCTCTTGTTTAGCTGCAATCTTCATAGGCCTGTCACAAGGCACCCATTCACTCATGCTTCTCTCCCTGCTTCTCTATGGCAAGTTCTAGCAGCAGATGCATTCTACCTGGACAACAGCCTCCTGCATAGGTCCATACTGGATTCCACTGCTCTCATTGCAGGGCATTCAACCCTGCTGTTGGCCAAAGTGGTGAAGCATGGTATATGGTCACTGCTGGGCAACAGGTTAGAATATTTGCGAGCTGGTATGTCTTCTCATCATTCTGGTTTTCTAGAGACTGACTTTGTTGTAGGAAGGTTGTCCAACCTCTTGTATCAGGTGTTGCTCATGCCTGTCACAAGAAGTACAAGACTTGTGCTAAGACCAAAGAAGCCTTTGAGATCACTCTCATCCAAGGCAAGGTTTGCATACTTTTGCTCTCATTGCTTTTCTCCACTCATTTAGTTTTCTCATTATCTGCTCAAAACAAAAAAAAATCCCTTAAAAAAATCATCTTTAAAATTTATGTAGTTAGATTTAGTTAGATTTAGCTATAGACAAAAATATACTATGATCATACCCTATAACTCCATGTCTTCCTTTTGAGTATGCTAAGATAATCATACTGTAGCAGTTTTCTTGCCTGTTCAGTATATCTGAGGCTTTGGCAATTCCCTGCAACTGTACAGTTCTGGCTTTCAGATATCAGCATTCCTGTTTGGCATCCATACAGCTTCAGTAATTTCCTGTACAACTGTACAGTTCCACTTTAGGCTGGACTTTGGGCTGGCTACTGTTAGAAGCCCAATTTTCTCTACCACCTTGAT